AGATTCACTAGACATGTTTATTTTATAAATCTTGATTAACTATGTGACAGTATTGAAATATTCTAAACAGTGACTGTAATAAAGTATCATCATGTACAACTAAATTGACATATATGAGTGTCCAAGGAGGAGAGGCCAAGAGACATACCACTAGCTAATACTATTTTCCTGTATTGTACGTTGAAAGTTCCCATCTATCATCAACTCTCCCAAATTCATAAGGAACTCCCTTCACATAGAATACCAAAACTATATAGCTTTAATTTCACGACAAGGGTTGCATTGCTAAATGGTGAGTTTTTAATTAACAAATGTGACAAATATCTTACTGGCAAGTCACAGTATCCATTATTAGTACAATAAAAAGTACATGCACATAGAATATACAGGAATAACTGACTGAGAATTCCCCAAATCAGTGCCTCATTGCTTTGAATGCGAGTGCCCCGTCTCCAGTCTAAATGTCCACACAGCTAATTCTTGCTGCAGTATGAGTTTGACCGAATGAATCACTGAACATCTTTGCTCTAGACTTTTTTGAGGCAACTTACCTCTTCTTGTATGCAGAGAATGAATAGCGTGTTTTAATGCCTCTGAATAGCATGAAACCCTGTCAATGAACTCCAGGGACAAGTCTCTGTGGGAGTGTGGTAAAATAATGTACAACAAAAAGGTGTAAGTGTTGATGTGGATGTAATGAAGTTATTTTTATTCTTCTGAAGAATATGATTTTTTTTTTCTGTCATTTGCCAGAAGAGCGTAATGAAACTTTATAGTCAAATTTTGTGTCAGATAGCCCACAAGATACTGAAGGGGTACAAACAATAAATTAGATCTAACAGGAATTTGCCATTATTTCTAATAGGTCTCACTTTTCTGGTGTGGTGACTTGGTGAACTCTTAAGTGGAGAAGCTTCTCAGTGTCTTGAATGCACCATGTGAAATTTAGGCTCCGTTGAGACTAGCAGAAACTTTGCTGCTGATGTAAGCAGAATCAGAATTTTGTTCCTTTTCCTGTAACCTGCAAAAGAAGGTCTAATTTATGCAGTGTTTAGACTGCTGATATTAGGGCATCGTGTGTGATATTACTAGCTGTAGTGAAGCTTAACTGGTGTTGGCAACGATTGGACTTTTTGTGAGGTGGTGTAGAAAGATGCTACTTTTATTTTTATGTTACCAGATATTCTACAGAAGCAGTTCTGCCTTCTGTAGTTCAGAGGCTGAATCAGACATGATGCCTCTTTTCCAGAGTTGCATTTATTCTTTGTGTTATCATCTTAGTTGCATTTTTCTTTGCATGAGCTTTATTGCAGCTGTTGTCACAGAAGTCAGCTGAAAATGAACTGGGCTGAGTGAAAAGACTCTCTCCAGCAAGCTAAATCCATTTTAGCATTCATCTTCATTCGAGCTATCCCAAAAAATCTTTATCCCTCAAGTACTAGCAGTGATTGCCACATTACAGTGACCTGAGTGTTACCAAAATAATCTTGGGAGGTTTCCTACTTAGATTGTGCAAGACAAAATATGTAAGTTTTTGCCTTACTGAGGAAATGTATTGAAAGAGATGTGCTTCACTGCCCAAATTTCTAGAAGATTATGAAGGTGTGTACTTGTTTGTGCTTCTGTTCGCCATGCCCAGTATGTCATTTCTAGCTTCTGCTGTATTTTGTCACATTGTTGTTACTCTTCTGTGGTAGATCACTGTGTACTGATGAGAGATAAGCAATTCAGATATGGAGGAACATGCAAGGAGTTAAAGGGTGAGCTAGAGCCCCCTGTTTCTTTCAAGTATGGCTTTTGTTTTGGAAAGCCTTGTTGGTCTGCTTAATATCAGTGTGCACTGGTCAAATCTCGGATTTGCTTTATTGCCTTGAAACAAATTTCCATTTTGTGCATGGATCTGATTCCCTGCCTAGTGGTACAGACAGCTTTATGTGGGCCTTGATGGATTTTGATCTGGCTGGTCCTGACATTGAAATTCTTTTAAATTGGGACATTGTATGCTTTGGTACTTAGATGGATTGCTGTGATGGTTTCCCTGGGCCAGCCCTTGGCCAGCAGCCAATACAGCTGTTCACCCACTTCCCCCCCATCCCCAGGTGACAGGGAAGAGGATTGGAGGACAAGGACAAGGAGACTTGTAGGTTGAGATAAGAACAATTTAATAATAGAAATAAAATAAAATTAAAATAACAGTAATAATAAAATAGTAGTGATAATGATAACAGTAACAAAATATGCAGATGAGTGATACTCAGTGCAATTTCTCACCATCCGCTGACCGAGCCCGGCCTGTTCCCAGATAACGATCCCGGAGGAGCGACAATCCCGAACCGAAACCTCAGTCCTGGAAGAGCCAGAGCCTGAGCGAAAGCCAGAGAGAGAGAAAAGAGGAAGAGACCCTCACTGATATACTGAATGTGACATGACATGATAGGAATATCCCGCTGGCATACCCAAACACCAATTTAGCTCATTAATTTAACTGTTCCTCACCTCCTTAAATCTGGTGCTTGCAGACTGACAGAACACAAAGTCCTTCACTTCCAGTGACGAAAATGCAAACACTGGTGTGTTCTCGCTTTCTCTCTCGCAGTCAGTCCCAGGCTGGAAGCAAAACACAGCACTATTCTAGCTGCTAAAAAGAAACCCAGCTCTGTCCCAGCTAAAAACCTGGACAATTGCCTAAAGTGCCAGAGATACGTACTTTACCTCATTATCTGCTTTCTCCTCTTAAATTTAACTTTAAAAAAAAGAAGAAATACATGTGGTGTTGGAGTCTTAATAACTTAGTTGGTGCATTTCTTGCAGGAGTGACTTCCAGTTGCTTGTCATCAGACTTTGTATTCAATTTGTGCATAAAAACATAATAATCCATTCTGTGGGCTAATAGTTGCATCTTTTGTGTATGGAAATGGTAAATAATTGCCTCCTTGTCCTGTTAAGATTCATTATGAAAAGGTAGCAAATAATGTCTGTAAAATTCAGTTATATCACTCCTAAATGGCTTTCACATCTTTCACTGTTCCCTTGGGCAAAAGATAAGAATTAGGTGGATGTGCTTAAATATTGTTTCTGCCTTCCTCATTAAAGAAGATTTTGTTCTTAGCCTCTTGAAATGGGATAGGTCAGAAGGAAGATCTGCTGCTGGAAGACAAGCCTACCATTAGAACCTTAAAGTTTTAAAATTAATTTTTGTGTGAATATTTTTTTGGTTGTGAAACTTACAGCCTGAAGAATGGGAAGGAGAGGGCTTTATTATGACTGTATAGTCCTTTTGTGTGGAGAGGGAGATGTAATGTTTTCCGAGTGTTCTAGAAAGGGAGATCTTGTGTGAATCCAGCAAGGCATGCTTCCTCAGAGCAACCAGTCCTGCAGGGCAACAGAATGCAACTGGGAACTTCATTTTGCTGTTTGCAATGTTACGCACATTAAACCTCTGTGCTGCTCATGAAAGGAGTCCCATTAGTGGCCACAGTCTCTTAGAGTTGAAAATTTGACTCTTTTTTTCAGTGGGACCTGATAACGTAATCCAGAACACAGATCTGACAACTATGAAGGTACTGATTATTGGAGTAAAGAGAGGAAACAAATACAGAGGAGCAAAATAGTGGAGTGAATTACTTTCTCTAGGAGAATTGTTAGTCTAAATGTCGAGTGATAGTGCCACCCATCTGCTTGACTGCTACTTAGTTTAACCGATTTTGCACACTGCTTAGCCAATGTTGGTTCCTTTATTTTTTAAAACTCTGTTCTTTGGTTTAATTTCCAGAGGGAGGCATACTTGCATGCAATTTGTTTTACTTCGAGAAGGCTGTATATAGACAGGCAGTTTTCTATAAAGGTGGTTTGTTCTTGCTGTAAAATAGCTGTGGATGTAGGCACAAAGAGGGATAGGCAAACTTGCTCTTATCAAAAAAGTTATTAAAAAATCAACAGTAATCAACACTGGATATAAGCACTCTGTCCAGAATCAAGATGGAAATTGTTCTCTATCTTGTTCTCGACTGCTGAACTGCCAGTAAGTGTAGATTAGACTTACTACCAACCTATAAACCAGCCTGTGAACCTAGTTTCTCAACAAGGGACACTGAAAAATAAGACGATGGGAATAAATAATATAGATTTTTAATTTTCACACAGGCTTTACTACTCTTGGGCCTTTCTGAAGTTTCAAAAAAATTTCTTGTTGTTTTGGTTTTTTTTTTCCTTATAAACTTTTTCTGAATTTATTTTTAGGAGCTAGTAATAAGTTTTCTTTAAGGTAAGAAATAAATCATGTTTGATCTTACTGCCTAAGTATGTATTATGTTTTCTTTTTTGTCCTTGGCAAGTAAAAGGAGAATTGTCAAGGTGAAGATGAAAAATATACTTGTGGGAACAAGGTGAAAGAACCTAATAGACATTCTATGTACAGAAATAATAAATGAGAAAATAGCATCTGTGTTCTGGATAACGGCTACCTTTTTTTTTTCTTTTGGCATAACCTCAAAATATCATCCGTTAGATAGTAAATTTGTGACATGACTATTGTCATCATCTTGGAAACAAGGCAACAGCAAGTTAATGGTCTTCTGCTTTGATAGTGTATCAACCGTGCTGTATTAGAAATGAAGTAAGGTTGATTAACTAAGGAGTCAAAATCATGCCATCTTTTGATTACATAATATACTGAAGTGCTTACCTAATATCTAGTCTCCTAATTCCTCCTGTTAGTCTCCTAATATCTGTTAGAGTAATAAACATGCACAAAAGCACTGTTCTACTGCCGTTAACAACTCTAAAAATAATTTGGAATTTGTAATGTATGTTTATGTGTTCTATTAGCTCAAGGGTGACCTGTTCTGCTTGCAGCCTTTGGACCATGTTGTCATGTAAGTATTTTAACTGTTTTCTTTTGGTTTTTTTTTTCCTCGTGAACTGAGGTTACTGATGGGCAAGATTTAAGAGAGGAGATGGAGTAATGTAGAGTGAAGTAGAGCTCGACATTTGGAGTGTGGAGCTACTTATCACTGCTTTAAGGAAAAGTACACAAATGAGAGCTTTATACCTGGAATGCAAATTTTTGTCACTTTTTTTTTGGAATGCTGTGACATAAGGCAATATTGTACCTTAATGGTATCTCAAATACCCTTCAACTTGAAGTGCTTTTATTTATTTAAAAATAACAGCTGAATTGACAAGATTAAAGACCAATTAGTAAGAGTTTAGTGGTAATTTTTGGCAATCTATTAAAGCCAGATTTGGAGATGTTGAAAGCTGTGAAAGATTATTACTGAATTTTCTATGATGGACAAAAGTTCTTTCTGAGGAGCTGTAATGTTTTAGCAACTGCCTATTGTAATAAATTGTAATAGCTGGGTCCTGAGTTTCAGAATTTGTAATAGTAAAGAAGTTACTTTGCTTTCACTTGATTTTCTCTTTTTATGTTTTTTTACTTAAAATGATTTTATTTCTACAGTTCTAGAGGACAGTATCTTAATTCTTTTCCTGCGTTACATGCTGAATGCACAGATATTTCGTTTGCAGGCTATACATAGGGACATAGTTGTGAGAAGTTTTCTGAAAACTTTGTTGGTGTCTCTTCTACCGTTGCAAATAGTCCACAGGTGAGCAGTATTCGGGTCTGTTTTAACGTGGGAGACACTGACGGTGTGGTGTGTTCTGGAGGCTGTAGCCCTGCTGTACTGTAGGGCTTTGCCTCAAGATCTGGTAACAAAAGTTACTGACTGAAGTGTTACGTTTCAGACAGTAATCCAGATAGCTCACTTGACAGGATAAAGCTAATCCATTCCTTGTTAGAAATGTTGCCTTCGGCTGCTGAAAGATGTAACAAGTTACCCTCAGGCCTGAGCTCCACAGGGTTCCATGTGCTTGAAAGTACAAGACCAGGAGGGTTTGACTGGGGGTTCTGAGAGCAGAGGACTAAAGACTATTTCTCCCCCTTCTTTCTAGAAGTAAAGTGTATTTTAAGGTGATTCACAGTAATTCCGGCTTCTGAATTTCTCATATTGTGGAGTAAATAGTCCTAAACTTATAAGAAGCAGTTTCTGATTTTTGGCAGCTGAAATAGAAGAAGTCCTGACTGACTGAAGAGAGTGGAAATGAAACTGAAAGAGACTTTAGGAATATACTTGGCAGTATGACAAGTCAAATTATTAATCAAGCCTTTATTATCTGCAGTATCTATAGGTCTTTTAGTATGTTCTGTATCTTACAGGGATCTGTATATTTAAATGACATTTAATTAACTAATAGTTTTCTAGTTGATAAACTCTATATCCTGTGAGAGTTTTTGAGAAGAAATCTATGTGTCAGGTGTGGTATGTTATGTTTTCTGTTTAATTGTGTTGTTTATACATTCAGTAATTTTACTGTATGCTTTCCAGTAATGTTAAGGTGAAGATGAGAGTGAGCTATATTAATAACATTGCTCTTTTCAGGAATAGATACTATAAATAAAATAAACAATCAGTAAAATAACTATTTCATTGGAGGCTTCTAAAGAAAGTGAACACATAAGTACAGCTTAAAAATCATACTGTTGCAAATAGAACAGGTGCTTGGGATAGGGGTTTTTTTTTTCTGGTTTTCTTTTAGTGTGGTGATGCAGCAGAATATTAGTGCATATTAAATTAAGCATGTTCTTGATAAAGGATGAATTGGAGCACATATTAAATGCTAAACAAGGGCCAATGGCCTATATGACCAATGCAGCAATTCTTGTAAATGTTACTTTATTATACTCTTCTGTAGATCTCAGGGTAATTTTCATAAGAATGTTTAATGATTGTATGCCAAAACAGGTAATAACAATATTTTTAGCAGTTAGAGAATTTTTATGATGATAAATTTTGAAAATTTACCTTTGGTTCCTGACAGTTGCTGTAAGGGATTCTGCTACCGTTGAATTTGCGAGAGTGGTTGTTGTACAAAGCTTTACAGAAGTATGCAACCTTGCCTTCTCCTCCAAAAAGGAGTGCAAACGAAGATTGTTATTCGTGTCAGTCTTAATGGTTTATTTCCCATTTTTTTCATGTATATACCACAGTTTATTACAGATACACACTGTGGATTGCCTGTTCTCTTAGTCATATAGATCACTTGCTACTTATTTCTGACATTATATATTTTGAGCAGTTTCAGAAAATTCATTGCACAGAAAAATACATTTATTTGTCCCTTAATCCACTTCAGAAGTGGGATGGAAAACTGACTCCTCCATTTTTGTCCATAAACTTGTCCATGAATGAGCATTAGACTGCAGCTAAAATTTCCGACCTTTGTTTTAGAATCAGAACTCTGTTTCTTTCATCAGAAAATGATGCAAAAGGAGCAAATTCAGGAGGGATCTTTCTGAAGATAGGCTCTGAACTCTAGAATGTATAGCGAGTTTTCTTGGTGCAAGTCCTTTGCTTATGCTTTCATACAACAAGACAACTGTGGAAAATATACTGCATTTCAGGTGGGGATTTTGAAGAGCACTGAACACAGTAGTACTTCGTTTTCTTGGTGAAGGAAAGACAGGTTTATTTATGTGACTAGTACAAGTTTCTTAATGGGACAATACTTTGCTCATATCCAAGATACTCAGGACAGATATATTAAGGGAATTAACTATCAGAAACTGTAAAAAATGCACACTTGCAGTTAGCAGCATATAGAATAGATATACTTTTAAGATTTCCTTTCTCTTATGATTTGTGCTGATGTTCTCTTTTTTTGTTTTGTTTTTGTTTTGTGTTATTCAGGATAATTAATCTTACCTGGGAACATCAAAAAGGCTCATTAATTTACTCAGATTCAGTTCCTGGCTTTAATTTGTTCTTGAAGTCTTTATTACGTCCCTGTGATGGTAAAGTGTGTGGTAGCTAATTGCAGCTGGACGTTTGACCTATGTCACTGTGGTGATGAAGTCTCATAGCCTGTTTTTGATACTCATAGAAGATGAGTAAGATCTTGGCGCCACACAGTCCCTGAAGAGTTCTGCTGACAGCAACAGTTGCAAGTAGAAATGGGAGTGTAATACAGGACACAAAAGCATTGGCTTTGCTTAGGTTACTTTGACCACATTTAAGGCAAATAGGCATTGAACTCTGTCAAGCCAACAGCTTTACCTTTCTTTTTTTGCTGAACAGGATCTGAGGTCAAATAATAGTTGTCACTCACTGTGAGGTATTTATTTATTTATTACTGATGTTATTAATGATCCACAGATTTTTATTTGGCTCAGATTAGCATGCTGTGTAAGTGGTGTGATTCTAAGGGTTGACTGTATAAAACAAGCTTGATTTTTAGGGCTACTGCTCAGGTTCAGGTTTATTTTTTTGGTCTGTAGCTCTATGTCTATAGCTTACAAAGGTAAATATTCACTCATTTGTGTTGCTTCTATGAGTGTCTGAATTTGTCTCCAAGTGGGAAAAAGTTCATTTCTGAAAACTGCCACCACATTTGTGTTAATTGACAGTTGTCTTTACAGTCTCGACAGGAAGAACAATGATTGAATGGCTGCAGGAGCTTGTTCGCTCTTTCAGCCTCTGAGGTGGTTTTTTCAGAGAGATTTAAAGGTTGGTGTAGTGCTTGCTGTGCTATTCTCTGTCCTTCTGCCAACAAAAAATGCAGCAGAAAGCAGAAAAAAATGTGGGGGTTTTTTGTGACTTTTATTGGGACAATTTAGTTAGATTTTAACATTCTGCCTTGGCAGTAATGCACATCTCTCAAAGACCCAGTTTTTACAGCAAAGTAAGCCATTGGATGTAGATTATAAATGGTACAGCTTTTATTCAGAACTGAGTTATATGTAAAGCTGCATGTGGTCATGTTTTTTCCCTCTCCTTTCTATAATAATAAAAGGAAAAACAGAGCTGAAATACTAAATGTATTAGTTTCCTTTAAGAAGAATACTCTTTTTGCAGTTGTTCTAATGATCAGTTACAAATGTAGAACTTACAACAAGCAAAGGCCCCCTTGCCCCTTTTGTTTTAATGGAGCCTTATTTTAATGCTTTAATTTCTCTCAAAACAGGCATTTTCAGTTTTTCATCAGGTAAAGCATTCTAAATAAATGCACACTCACATTATTCTAATATTCTTTGGGTGTAATATTGGTGACAACAAATTCAGATAATCGAAGCCTGAGATGCATGTAGGTGGTACATTCTAAGGTAATTTATTGAGTACTGTGCCCCCTTTGCTACTTTGCCACAATAAGGTTATTATTTAACCCTTTAACTAATATAAAGTTGGTACCTTATGAGATGCAAATACAAAGGCAGTCCCGTGCCCCCATTCACGTGTGAACACAAAAAAAGTTAGCAGAAATCCTTCTTCCCATTTTCATTCTTGGTTTGAAGCCAGTGTTCAGCGCTACCTGATGAGGAGTTATAATCCTTCTTTTCAGGATTGCGGAATGGCCCAGGACACTGCAGTTCCCCATCTGAACTTTGAATATTGGTTGGATAAAGCTATTCAGTGGGGTCAAGCGACCACATTGGAATCCCAGAAGGATGTGTGCCTTCACTTGCCCCAGCTCCAGGAGTTTCTGCATCAGATTTATGAAACTTTAAAACATCTGGTAAGTGACTTTGAAAGGAAGAGAGACCTGTTTTGAAGATGCCCTCCGAAACAATCTGCACCATGTTTTGACAAAACCAGAAGCTAACAGTAGCAAAGACGTTTGTGTTATTGACCTAATGTATTGCTGGATCAGAGAGGCAAATTGGGGAAACACTCAGAGGTAATGCAAACAGGAACGTGCTTCCTGTTTCCCTGATTTATTGTGAAAGGAGCTTTTTCTTCTTGATTGGTTGTTGTCACGTGAGATTTCCCAGCCAATGCTCCAGCCTCTTTAAAACAAACAAGAATTTGATTCTAGTTGTCAGGTCATAAATTGGATTATTTAAAGGCCTTAACATGCAAAACTGTAACTGATCCTTTAAATCTTGGAGAGTCTGTTGACACGTTAACCCCAGTGTTGTGGCACACGTAGTGAATTCTAGCAGCATGGTCAGATTGCTGGCATGTGCTGCTGGCTGTTCTGTTTAGTAATTTAATGTCTCCACTCATTAGAATGCTTTTTTTTGAGAGTAAGTGTAGTTGCTCGTATGTTTACTTGTGTATGTGAACATGCCTTTTTCAGTATGTGTATTTGGTATAATTTATTTTAAAATATTTTTCTTGTCTGAAGACTACAGAATTGTTTGGGGTTTTTTTCTGAACTGAATTTAACTTTTATTTTAAGATTTCTGGGGAGTTCTGTTTCTTTCTGTATTTATGTATGTCTTAAGAGGGAAAGAAAAAAAATAATCTATTTTTAATGTTGCTATTTCAAGTAATCTGAGGCTTGGCCTGAAATGGACCTTGTGAATATGGCCCCAGAAAGTCTAGGGCTAGCCCCAAACGTGAGACAAATGTAAGGAATTTATTGCAGCAGCAGGAGATGGTTATCGTTCCTGCTACTTGCATGTTATCTCAGCACAGCACCATTTTTAAAAGCCTTCATTTATGAGATAGTAAAGCTACAAAAATGGAAAAATAAGATTGATCACATAGGATTGTATATAAACTTCATTGTCTGCTACTTTTGTAGTGAAGCTGCTTTCTATTTGCTTAAAAGTGAATTGCAGTTTGTTACTGGCTAGCCATGTAAGTTAATTTAAAGGAAGCAAGCAAAAGTAACAGGAAGTTGCTTAGCTTTGTGCTATAGTAGGTATTAATTTAATCGGAAACTCTGTAGAAGTTTATTAAAGCAATCAGGATCAACAAAAATTAGTTTGATTGTGCTTTTAGTATTATGAAATCTTGGTTACTAATATTGTTTTCTGATTACTGGGTGTGAGGCAAATTAACAAATTTTCTAATGTAATTAAGTATTAAGTGACGAAATTACTTGCTTAACCTTGTAACTTATTTGTATTATGATGTTATAGCAAATATCAGGAAGTTCAGCTTTTATTACATACTTTCAGGTGTTTTGCTTCCAGAGCATTTCACAGCAAAACCATTGGGATTATAATTTACAACAATCTGTATCATTAACAGTTCTTCTAACCTACTCTTTGTGTGCTGTGTGTTTATTATCTTTTTGTTTGTTTTTATGTTTTAACAGGATTCAATTGTAGCAATCCAGCAGTTCCCTTTAATTGGCCAACTTCTAGGAAGGCTTTGTTGGAATCCTTTTGTTATAGGATACGGTAAGAATGTGTAATGATATTTCTGCAGCAGTTCCATAAACTTTCTTCTATAGGAATTAGGAAAATACAACTTGTTATATATTTTGATTTTTTTTCCATAAAACACAGCATTCTTTTTGACTTAAGTAAAATTTTGAGATTAAAAGGTTAGCCAAGTTATTTTAAAATATGTGGCATTGAGAAATCTTAAATTTACTTTAGGAGTTAATTAATTTCATGGATTAGTTACATAAACTTGACTTGGGAGCAGTAGGTTTTAAATCCCGTGAGTGTTTATGTGTGTTATGATTTCAGTTTTCCATATTTTCTTGTTGTATTATTACATTTTTGTTAAGTTTTCCAAATGTACAAAATCTACTGTTTCAGATTACTTTCAACAGAAGTTTCCTCCAGTTATACGTCAGAATATTCTATTACATATGCTAATATAGAAAAAGTAATTTTTATTAGTGTAATGCTGTATTAAGTTATTATTATGTTTGGTTTTGTTGAGTTTATTCTGAATGTGTGTTTTCCCAATCTTGCAAACTAGTGAAAATGTACATAGAATCAAAAGCAGAACAGTTAAATGGTAACATAGGAAAAAAACTTCTGAAAACTTGAAGCCTCATACTGGTAGTGTTTATGTGTGTAGGTGAAAATAAAGAAAAGACATTGGGGACAGAAGAACGGTTGGGAAGGAAAAGACACTACTTATGCTGCCTCACCAGCAGCTCCAGTACATTTTTCAGAAACTGAGATGTTAATATGTTGATAAATGGCTATAGTGATGGCCCCTGTGAGAAGCTTCATGAAGCTCCCCTGGCTCCAAGGCATACCTACCTCCAGCCCAGGCTGAGCCAATCAGCAATAGGGAAATGCCTCTTTGAATCCATATTTATGAGGGGAAGAACCAGTTTGGCAAGGAGGGAGAAAGCCATCAGGAGACCATTGACTTGGAGCAAAAAAGACCATCAATGACATGAGCAAAGAGGAGGAGGGGAGGAGACAGAGAACTGCAGACACCCAGATCAGCAAGAAGAAGAGTAGGAGAGGCAAATGGAGTCCCCTGGTTCAATGGCAGAGCAGATACCCACGTGTAGGCCATGGAGGACTCCACGCCAAAGCAGGAAGCTATACCTGAGGGCAGTTGTGATGACATTGAGAGCTTGTGATGAGCAAGAAGACCCCAGAGATGCTCGTATCAAAACTGGGGGATGAGGAAGTGTGCCAGAGTGGAAAACCATCTGCAGCCCTTGGAGGTCCCCATGCCAGAGCCAGGAGCTGTGCCCTTAGAGGTCTGTGAGTCTATGAGAACACTTTGTTCCTGGACTCTTTTAGCCCATGGGAGGGACCTCATGCCGGGAAGAGCGCGAGAGGTGAACTGACTGCAACCCCTATTCCCTGTCTTCTATGCTGCTAGGGGAGAGAAGGTAGAGAAAATAGAAAGAAAGTAATTTGAGCCCAGGAAGAAGGGAGGGGTGGGGGGAAAGTGTCTTAGGATGTGGTTATCATGTCTCACCATCCTATTCAGATTGATTGTTAACAGATTAAATTGATTTTTCTTCCCCAAATTGAGTCTGTTTTGCCCGTGACCATAACTAGTGAGTGAGCCACCCCTCCCTCCCTGTCCTCATTTCAGCCCACGAGCCCCTTTGTTGTGTTTCTCTCCCTTCTCACTGGGTAGCAGGGAGAGTGAGTGAAGGACCACATGGTCTTAACTGAGGCTGAAACCACCAGGTTTTGGTGCCCAAACAGGTGCTCAATGCCATGAACAAAAACCAACCCAACAATGTGGCCAGTGATGTGACCATATCATAAGCCGACACTATACAGTACTGCAAAATCATAACCCTGATCCCTCTCTCAGCATTCATAAACGGCACCACAGAGAATATATATTGCATGTAAGGATTTACATAGCACAACCATGTGAACAAATAAAACAGCATTGTGACCAGTTACTATTTAACTACTATATTAAATGTGTATAACAAATTTGTTTCAACACACTCTGGTCAGGTCTGTCATTATCTCAATGCTTTGAACCCTTTGTTGTGTTTCTGTCTCCATGTTACCAGGTTGAGGGGGGTGAGTGAAGGACTGTGTGGTCTTAACTGAAGCTGAAACCACCAGACCCCCTCTGAAAGGAAAATTTAGGAAGGAACCATAGATTGAAACATAGATCATTTTTGCAGAGCAGCAAATGTGCACTTTTGTGTCACCTGTTGAGAAAAGCCTTTTCATACTTTATAGACTTATTTTTACAATGGTTTCCTTTTGAATCATAGTTCCAGTTTTTGCAAATGTTGATGAATGTTGATGTTTACAGTTACACATATGCTTTTAATCTCAGTTTTTGTTTGGAATATACAAATCTTCAGACCATCAGTTTTTCTGAGCTGACAATATATTGTGGTATAGAAAGTAGCTTCATCTGTATTTTTCATTAGAGTTGAAAGCCATCCATATCTGCTTTTGACTCCTTTTCACAACAATCTCAGCAATATGTTCTTGGTTTCCTCTTCTTCTTTCCCCTTCTTTGGTATCCCTCAGCATTTTCTAAAGCAAGGAACACACTTTTTCTGCAACTTTATAGTTACCTCTGAAGATTGCAAGAGAATAGAGTTCTGCTATAGGTTTTTTTTTTTTGGTCTCAAAGTTTTAAGCAGACCAGTTCAGAGAACTTCACTTGCTCAAAATGGAATCCTTCACTTTAATGCTTAAAGATGAGTCAAAGAGATTTTCTGACATCAGTAGACCTGAAGATGTCTGCTTGTACATTCCCACCACTTCCTTTTTTTAGAGCTCTTTCGACTGCTGGCATTTTAGATTCAGCAGATTTTCATTTTGTTTGGCACTACTTCTGAAGATATTGTTTAAGATAGTGCTGGCTATAGCAGATGCTGACTCTCAAGTGGGTTTTATGCAGTTTCTCATTTGGATAAATAGTTCATTCAGGCATGTGTCTGAGACCAGGCCACCCTTGCAGTAGATGGAATTAATTTTATTCAGTTCAGTCTTTCATACTAATAAATGGAGGAGGAAAAACATTATACTTCTGCTTCATGTCCAAACCACAATACCTATCACCTTAGATGAATGTCTGTTGGTGCTGGAAGCTGACCTGGCTGACCACTCAGTGCAGGAAGTGTGGTCTCCAAGGGAAAATAATCTCCTCATAAACACTCCTGAGCAGGAGGTGACCAAGTTAGCCTTATTTAGAACGCTAATGTGAAGGAAGCACGGCCGAAGAAAATCTCATGGCTATACCTGTGGTCCTAAACCACAAGGGATACATGAGGAATTCAGTCTTGGTAAGGAATTTCAATGTTTTTTTCTGTGGGCTGGGGGATTATCTTCTCAGTAGGACCCTCCTGGTCTGAGGTTTGAGCCCAAATGTCTTGAATCCCAAACTAATACTATAAATGCTGGGGAATTTCCTGGTGGCTCTATATGTTAGTGTATGTGTGTAAGCATGCATGCTTATGTATGCATTAATTTCCACAGAAAATTCTGTTTTAACTAATCAACATTTTCTGATATATTTAAATAAAATTTTACATCATCTGTAAAAGGATTATTTCTGGCTGTAAGATTAGGTTTTTCTTACTAGTTCCTTGCATCTGGCCCCATCATGACAGGGTATTTATAAACTGCCTGTATCATGGAATGATTGAGACCACACTGTGTTATGAGAAAAATATTGCCTTATTTTTTCTTTTTCTTTTTTTAAAAAAAATTATAATTTTTGATGCGAGACTGGCAGGGAAGAAATACAGTCTAATTCATCATAAAGGGTTGGGCTTTTGTTTGTCTGTTTGATTTTTGTTGTTATTTTTTTATTTTTTACAAAACTGCTTCCAAGTTGTCTTAAATTTCCTACAGATAATTTTCATTCCTTTAGTTGGAGTTACAACATTAATCTGCTCTAGAAGTCCAGTAGATAGTTGGTGACATTTTTGGGGATATAATTTCCACCTTTTGAGTTAGTGATTTTGTTCTGCTGGATGTCTTAATTGGGTATTTTTTTGGGTTGTGAGCATTCTTTCATGCCATAATAAGAACAAATGCCTTTGTTCATATCCTGATAATGGTTTTCAGTGCATACCATGATGGTGTGTTTTCCATGGGGATCACAATTACTAGAAAAACAGGAGGAAAAAGCCCACCACTAAGTTTTCTGTGCCTCTCTGTGTTTGGTATTTTGATGTGATTTTCTTTTGCAGCAGCCATAATTATTTTAAGATCTATCTCCCCTTATTTTTAATCTTCCCATCTTTCATCCCCAGTTCCAAAGCACTTGTGAAAAGAAAACAGTGAACCTGAGAGTGCCCCTCAGAGTGTCATTGGGTACTTCAGTAAGAGGATGGCACGGTCCCTTTTCCTGCTTTTCACAGATCTATGGAAAGCTGCTTCTGTTTTGGTTGTAGCTGAAAAGTAATTTGCTGTACAAGTCTCTTACTTTCTGGGAACTGTTGGCATAGCTATGACACAAATAAAAGTTAGTTTCACTTAGGCTGTTGCTTGAATGTATCTAGCTAAATCTGTGTAAACCCACTATGCTGGCAAAGTGTGCCAGTGTGTCAGTTATCTAAGCTTTGTTTTCATTGTTTGAGCTTTCATTGTACTGATTTACATTTCTGCCAGGCAACAATATATGCAATTTTCTTTATAGTATGCAGCAAGTCATCATGTGTAGCAAAAAGTCTTCTCATACAGAAGTCTAATTAAGCAATTACCTGCCTTTTTTTTCACCTCTTTCCTTTACTTTTTCTGGTCAGAAGAAAACGATAACTTAAATAAAATGACTTAATGGCGTACTGTAGATATACAGTATAAACAGAATGAGTTAAAAGAAGGAACACCAGAACTAAGTATACTTTGTTTGGTATAGGCCATTTGACTCTACACCTCCTCCCCTGCCTTCCCCCATCTCTGTTGGTATAGTTTGACTTTTTTTTTTTTAAACATAATTCATATGATAGAAAATGATCTCAAAAGACAGATGTCATAAAGAGACAGTATTTTAGTACTAGTAATTAGCAATGTTTAAAATCTTCATTTTCCAAGAAGCGAATGACTATCATTTAGTCATTTAAACAAATAAAACAGTATTTGTTTTATTTTTCCTCCCATATAATTTCATATCAGAGTTTAGGTGAAATGGTTTTTTAAGGAGTTAGATTTGCCTGTTAGTGCTGATGTCTGAATACTAGTTGGATATAGTTACAATCAAAGTGTAAGGATACTTTGAATTTCTGAAAAAGGAGTATGCATGATGACACCTTTAATGTCAATCTTAAACAACCTAAGAAATAATTAGCCTTGTAAAAATCTGTATTAAAAAAAAATCCCCAAACACACAATGGCAAAATACCCCAAAATGTAGTCAGTTAAATGTGTATGTTTGAGAAATCATTTCTGTGCAGAGATACTAGTCAGTAGGAGGCCAGTAATGGCCTACAGGCTCGTTAGACATTTATGGAGGAATACTCACTTACATCAATATTAACATCCCTGATCACCTGGTGAAAATACAGACATTACTTAATGGAGCTTTTATTTTTTCTTCAGGCTTTGCCAACAAAGCACTTCTAAATAATACTGTTTATTACATCCTGGATAACAAATACACAGACAACAAAAGAATTCACTTGTTGAGCTTGATAAGCAAATTGTCTTCTAATATAATTTCTAAAACTCATGTGGCATTACTCATTTGTGTTATTTTTAACAAGGATAATATCGCTTACTAAGTGAATTTTATATTAGAACTACAATACTGCATACAGTTTTCATAACTTTTATTATGATCATGCAGTTTTATTCTGTGATGAAATTCAGTGTAGAGGCATTTGGTATCTACCAAAGAACATTATAAAAAGAAAAGCCTATTGAAAACAAAATTGTGGGAAATAATCAGGAGTTAAATGTCTCTTCTACTGCTTATTCCAAAATATCAGCTCCTCTACAATAATATCAGTGCATCTGAGCAGTGACAGTATTGCTCAGTATAGTAGGTTTTTAGAGAAGGCAACTAATTTCCAACAGTGGGTTAGAATTAAAAACCTGATCTGATCTTCAATAGAAAATCACAGTAGGATTTTTTTTTCCATCAGCATTTAGCTATTCTGTTGTCTGCAGAAGCGTAATTTTCCTGAAACGTGGAGAATCTTTATTATTACAGAAAACTTGATGTTTTACATTCATGTTATGGATGATTTCATACTTCACAAACAAGTTTTTCACAAGTGAATATTCTTTAGTTGTGCAAGCTTTGGACAAAATATAATTATTTTACTACTGTTGATTATTGTTTATTATTAATGATATTATTTAGATACTGAATTGAAAGTTCCTTGATGTATTGTTCCTTCAAGTATTATTGATGTAAATTAATCACTAGGTCATGCATGTTTCTTAAGACCATCTAAATATTGTATAGATTTTGAACTCTGATACCTTTTAAATTGCTGTTGAAGGAAAGAATTACACAAGAACTACATGAATAATATTACATGTGTGGTGTGAATATGGTAGAATAGAAGCATTATGAGTTTAGATTGATATTTAGGGCTTTAGTTTTGTGGATGGGTAGGGATTGTTGTGTGTAATTCTGTCTGTGTTTTGATTTTTCTTCTTTTTTTTTTTTTTTTCTCTCATTTGCTTTTTTTTCTGCAGATGAAAGCCAGAAGACTCTGATGTGGTGCTTATGTTGTCTATACAGCAGTGAACCACAGAGCCCCGTGGAATTGAAGGCCAACAGCTGGATACGGGTAAGTGAATGAATCTTTCCCAGAACTGCTTTGAATTAAATTGATTATTTAAAGGTGCTACATCTATAGCATAGAGACACTGTCGTTCAAGAAACTGCTCCAAACATGATTTGCATACATATTGTGTTGAAGTATATATCTCTCTAATTATAACACATTTAGTGCTAGTCTGTCATTTTAAATATTGAAAAGGTATGGCGTTTTAAAGTGAGTATTTTTTATAGCTTTTAAACTAGTAGGTGCACCAAATCAAGTAACTGTGAATAGTGAGGAAAAACTATAAATCAAAAGAGAAGCAAATGTTATTTAAAAAAAAAAAAACCTTTCAATGAGGATAAAATAAATAATCTGGAGAAATGCCATAGTTTGTTTTGAAAACAGCTTATATTTGCTCTTTAATTTTATTCTTTTTTGCTTTTGTTTAATCTCCTGCCTATGAAGAATTTAATTGTATCCAAACATTCTTCAAAGGCCATCAGAGAGGGGAGGAATAGTGCTTGTGTGTGAATTTATGTTTAGTGACTTAAGGAATAGTGGATCCCTAACTTTAATCCCAAGCTTAGGGTTTTGCATGGCACATCTGTTCATGTTTTATATATTTCCACACTAAACTAGCAAAGCACATCAGCATGTCAATAACTTGCAGCACATTAATGCTTAATGCTTTACGTTGCTGAATAACAATTTGAGGGTGCAGTGTTGTTGATTTTATGTCCTTGCATTCTCCATGGGTCCGTATCAAAATATGGTTAAAAAATACTAATGGAGTTGTTAATGTATTTTTTTATATCTGATAGTCCTCTCAACTGGTGAGAATGTAGCAGCCTGGTCATTATTTATATACAAGTCACTAAAGCTTCTCTGAGTAGTTTGTTTCATACTTACAAGTTGACTTTGTACATGACAGTTTATCTAGATATGCATGTAATGCTAGGATGCACAAATTATTTTAAAATAGGTAATGACATTGCAGATGTTTATGTTGGTAAAAAGGTGTATTTAACTGTGTAGTATTGTTGATTTAGGTGCAGTAATTCTCAGCAGCTAGTTCTCACAAACTTGCAGATGCCCTTGGGTGCTTGTATGTACCTATTTGGTGGGCTGTACCACACACCATGAAATTCTGAGCAACTTAATGCTAAGTAAAATCACCCTTATTTTCTTCCTGCCTTTAACCTTTTTCAAAAGGCTTTTCCTAAGGTCAGTATACTTGGAATTCACAGTGCAGCAATGCTTGAATGCCAAAGTAAAGTGATGCAAAAAAAATTTCTGCCTTTTCTAATTTAGTCTTTCTTGTTGGATATATTCTTCATAATGACATAGGAGGTGCACAATAGCATGCACTTACTTATCAAACAGAGCAAAATTTGGCATATGAATTAAGGCTGTTAGGTCATGAGGAAGAGTTGTACCCAGCCAGTCTTCTACGGATAGCTTTGATTTCTGTGAGGGGAAAAAAGCAGTTGTTAATCTAGATCAGTTGCCTTACCTGATTGATGTAACAAAACTGATGGTGTTGCTAATATAAGAAAAAGTATCAAGTAAACAAGAACAGCCGGGGATGAATGAAGGTGGGATTGCTGCTTTTGGCAGCACTGCTACCTGAAGCTGTCTTAGATGGGGACTAACATGTAAGCATTTGATTCAAACCTCACTGTAGTCTGGAGGAATTTTCCCACCCATTCTGTGTGTTTGAATCAACTTTAATAGTCATTGTGACTCGACGAGTCAAGAGTTAACCTAAAAGTGATAGGGAAGAGGACACAGAGAATTTCAAAGCACAAACATATCTGACTGGCTATTTTTATCATTCAGCACTTCCCTAGTTGCCTAAAGTGGGTGTAGCATAATATAATCTGAAATGTAATACATTCATATTTTGATTGAAGGGAAAGAAACAGCTAATTAGAAAAAAAAAGGATAGGTGAGGGATATAGAATAAGGATACAAAAGTTGAGATTAAAAGGAAAGGTATTATTAAATTCTTTTCTATAGTCATTAGAATTTCTTCTCTGTTTCTTACTGTCAAGTCTGCATCATCACAGAGCTTTTTGAAGAAAGTGGTTTTATCTCCTTTTCCTAATTGGCATTGTAATTCTTGTCACCAGCAACTGTGATATAATAAAGACTGTCATGCTTCTTTTACAGAACCTAAGTTAAGTATTTTGCCACTCTTGAAGGGGGTTTTTTTTTCCATGCATGATAATGATTTCTATTTTCAAAGAAACCTCAATGTACAGTAAGTCTGTTGACCCACCTAGAATGTACTTAAATGGCTTCTTTCTGAATGCCTTTATTTTTCCTATTAGATGTGTCTCAAAACATTGTCTCAGAAAGGAATCAAGACACATTAGCTATGAGAGCTGTAATTTGAGGTTTGCATCAGCTGTCTTCATATTGACTGGACGACCAGCCTCTGCAGAGGTTTTATCTAACCTCAGCCTTGTTTGTAACATGGTGGGAGCTCTTTACAGCAGTCATATTCACTCTCTGGTACTAAGATGCCAAATATACTGTGGTACACTATGGAAAAAATAGTCAAAACTCTAAAATATATAGTTGAAACAAATTCTTAGGAGTGGGGAGGAAGGTAGTTTTGTGGCTACATGATGTAAAGGGAATTGAAATCCAGAAATTAATTCTAAATACAGCTTTGAAATTTGAATGCTACTTAAAACGTTTTTAGAATTATGGAAAACTTGCCTGTACTTGGAATGAGATGATAGATTATCTAAGGTATTTAAGCTCTCCATAGATGAAGCGGATGGAAAGCCATCCATGACCACACAGAATGGGGCTCTGTGTCGGGTTCATGCACACTGACACAGGAGCCATGGAAACGGGGTTTACATATAGGACCTGCTGTTCAGCTTCTGTAGGAGTAACATTCACAGTAACCTTGTCCTTTGGCCCTGCAGCTGGTAGTTAATTTTATCTCCTTGACTTAATATTTTGGCATACACTGTGGAGGAATACTCAGTTTTAAAAAGGTAAAGTAGTTCACTGTGTAAGTCAGCATGCATCAAATAAATTGGGATCTTTGGGTGTACATTTAGTTGACAGTAGAAAATAGAAAATGTATAAAGGCAAACCAAACCAACCAACCAACCAAAACCCCCCACCCAAACAACTAAAAAGTGAGAAGTGTGTAATGGGACAGACAACTTTACTTGCTTGCTATTAACTGTTTGATTTTAACAACAATAACAAAGCCCTCCTTTTTAAGGTTGCTTCCTGGTTTTATGGGTTTTAAATGTGGCTTACGTGAAAATTTTCCTCCCAAAATGCAAAGCTATATCTGATTAGAAAATTATATTATTCAGGCAAGTTAGTGGTCAATATTATTCTTTCCTTTGTTTTTATAGCTAGGTACACTGACTATTAAATTATACCTTGCTTTTTGTCATGGCAAGTGCAGGTTCCTAAAGAGTACTTTGTGGCCTTTCAGTGTGTCTTTGGCTAAGGTCATTGACAGGAAGGCTGATCTCAGGTCTTTTGTTTTCAGCTACTAAATTTCATTTTCAAAGTAGCAAAAAATGTATTTGATGCTTGTGTAATTGTTAACTTTCCTACCATTGTCATAGAACATTGTCATGTTGTTTTTAATGACAAGAAGGGTAACTACTCACTTGAGCTGCATTATTATTACTAAGTTTCAGAAACCAAGACCGTGCAGGTCTGTAAATCCTCTGGAAGAAGAAAATGAGCAAAGAAATTACTTGGAAGTTAATTAAAATGGGCAATGTAGACTGCCGTGTTATTAGAATCAGGTGCTGTTTAAAATGGTAGAATTTTTTTTTTTTTAATAATGATTCTGAATTTTGGTGCTGGAACCTAGGTTCCATAGGTCTTCTGTACAGCCAGATGCAGTGTATGAAGCCAAGATACATGCTGACACAGATTTCTACTGATGAAATCAATTATGACCTGGTGACATTAGTCTCTAAGAAAGAAAGTGATTTAGTTTCTCCAGCTGGCCTTCTCTGAGCAGAATTTTGAAGCTGTGCAGTAAGTGTGGTTCTGACATTGGCTTCTGTCTGGTGGGGCTAGAACAGCTTCCTTTCACTGCAGATTACTCTTGCAAGCACATTGCAGCAAATAGCTTTTCTGAAGTACATTTCCATTTTATTAACTTGGTCACACCTCCTTCTCTGCTCTCAGTTTATAAACCATGTTTATGAATAGTTTATGGCTTTGGAATTTGCTTCAGATACTGTTTTTGTTGCACTGTTTTGGAAGGCCACACATACTTGTGAGAGTGTTACAGCCCCCTTTTCAAACTGGGTAAAACAGGAACAGTTAATATCCCTCGTTTTGTTTTGTTTTGTTTTTTAAATATTAGATACATTTTTTCAGTGCTCTGCTTTCCCTCAGTGGAATGCAAAGGAACAAGACTGTGTATACGTAATAGCTTAAACATAGGAGTGGAAAGCTTATCAGCCTTAGCTTGAGTTTTTAGACATGGTTTTTGGGCTTGGCCAAATTTTCATTTCTGGAAATATGAGTATCTATACTACATGCAAGGCCACTTTATATTAATGGCTGAAAAAGTAATAGGTGTTCTTTGTAAGAGTTGGATGCCAAGTGCTTCTTTGCCCATATTTTGGTTCATCCAGCTGTCTGATCAGATGTTACCATAATTGTCATTCTTAATAGTTTAATTTATTAACATATATTTTGGTTAGGCAACAGTATTCAGGAGTAGAAGGAAAGCAACACTGTTATAAGACCAGGAATTCAGCAAAATGAAATTTCTTAAAATTTTAGGATTTAAGTGGACTTGCTGTTTTGTCTCTCAGGGAAGAGTTGCTCATTGATTTACGGGGACTTTTCAAGATTATTTAGTGACTTCTGAGGAAGTCTCATACAAACTGTAATAGAAGGATTACAAGAGAAAAGTTAGAGAGTAGACATAGATGGAAAAAACTGGAAAGAAGACACGTCAAGAAAAGCTCAGGGATTGTGAAACCTGTGTGTTTGCATGCTTTCATGTATTTTGG